CGCGTTGTACAGGTACTACCCCATCCGGCTAGAAGTACGCTCAAAAGCGTGATGGAAAAGAAACTCGAAAATATGCATAGAGAGAGACACTCAGAAGGCGTGTACTGTTGCAAAACCTCTGTGAATAATTTTGTGGCGCGTGTTGCCCTTATCTGGGCCTGCATTCACAAAATACGTCTTACGTCAAGGAAAGTTTGTCAGCGATGCTTTCGGCCAATCGTCAGGCTTGGCATATCCTTAACAATGCCGGTTGGACAATGTGAAAAAAAAAAGCTTTCTTTAACGAATCAAAACTTTCGTGAAATCGGCCACTGCCACGTAGGATGTTATATAGGCGTGCCGCACGAAACCCTAAATATTCAACAGATGAGCATTTCTTTCGTTCTCTCTCTTTTACTCGCATGTCTGGCTTCAACTGGCCGAAATTCCTTGATTGTGTATATTTCGACGAGTGGCGCCTGCGTTTAGAAGCCGTATCATGATAGTGCATGGTTAAGTAATCAACGACGCAACTATAGTAACTTGCGTTAGAGTAATTCGCACGCTGTAAAGGTGACTTAACTTTCCGTTTCGTATGAGGATAAGGAGTTACGTCATGTTGAGTTAGGTTACGTTGTGTGAAATTGGTTTGATACCTAAACGTAATTGGCGGGTGACTCTCGCACGCATAGCGTCTGAACAACCGGTTTTCTTCCCGGTCGCTGCACTATATATACACCTCTACGCAGGCAAGCGTCCCGTTATAAGCGCGGTGTGCACGCAAAAGCACAAAAGCTCGCATCTCGCGGGCCCCGCCGTCGGTGCGTCAATCTCGAAGGGAACGCTTTAATTTTCACCCCGCCGCACCCCTGAACGTTCTCTTTAGACCGTAATACCAGAGGCGAACCTTCGTTGCGGACACAACCGCCGTGCCTTGTATTACCTGCGCACTTTTCCTTCCTCGTAGGTAGACAGCCACTCGGAGTATATTTTATCCCAAGCAGGATCTGCGCGCCCGCCCTTGAAATTACATGTTGAGCCGCGAGTATCTCGCTTGCTTACTTCGTACACAGTCCTGACACCTTTTTTTTTTGAAATCGCTGACCGTAAACGCTGTACAAAGACAGCCTATTCACAATGATCATCTAGCTGTGCCACATACGTTGCTTGTTGGTGAGAAGCACTCATTATGCTTATTATGATGATGATCATTGGTATTATTCTTTTTAATGTCGCCAGCACTGGTTTAAAATACCATCATTTTAATTCGTATTCTTAAAGTGTTTGCGGCGCTTGGACCTTATAACCTATCGTCATAATGGAGAAGGTTTTGCGTAGCCCGTCTACCGCGCCGTATAAAGAGTTGTGTTGTACGTCCTTGGAGCTGGCGTGCATGCGAGTACTCTCGCGATGACAATTGACGCTCGTGGTCAGATGCTCGAGACTGAATTACACGGTGTTCTATTATAGACGGGCAGTTTTGAAAGAAGCCTGTAGCGAATACATGCGACACAGCAGCGTCGGATTTTCATAGCTGTAGGCATTTTATATAGCGCTCGATATGAATGATTCAGCGTGGCAATTGGTAATAAACGAAACTTTGTGGAAGTACCTCGAAATATACACCCTTTTAGCTCGCGCGTTTAGATGGCTGGTGAAAATTAAAAGAATTTGTAACGTTTTTAAATCAGGCGTTCGCAGTTGTTTTCATATAGGTTTTCGATGGTGCCATGGCGTTCATTCTATACATGTTTTTGATCGAAGAATTTCGGATCAATGGGTGCACAAAAATATTAATGCTATAACTGGAAACAGGTGGTGTAAGAAGAACGCAAGATTTTATTTATTTATATTTTTTTCTTTGAATAGGGGCATGCTGTTCCGACTCTGCGACTTGCCCATCCAATGCATGAGGGCTCCGCCGAAGCAGTGTTTCTATTTGTGCGTCACGAATCAGAAATATTTAAGAGTCGTGTTTTCTAAGGCGTGTACAGCAGCGATCACGTCGAGCACGCGAGGAGCCGGTCTTCGCTCCGCGGGGTGAAACCTCGAGGCAGTTTCGGGCTCTGACGAGGTCAGCCTGACAGCTAGGTCACACATGTTTCTGATACAGCACTTCAGAGCCCGAAACTGCCTCGAGGTTTCACCCCGCAGAGCGAAAACCGGCTCCTCGCATGCTCTACACAGACGTGGCCGCAGCTGTACATGTGAAGACTGGCATGAGAAAATGTTGTCCACTCCCTCCTCCCCCCACCCTTGTAAGCGCTGAGACTGTCGATGAAGAATGCGCTTATATTACTCATAAGTCATGCGAGGGGTAACAAATTGTAGATTGCAGACTGGCCAATTGCCTACAAGTCAACGTCTCTAGCGCTACGCGCGCTAATGCGAAGCGACTAATCTGGAATGCAGCTCACGTTGATGATCCAAGTACCGTTTCATTAAACACTCTTTTGTAAAGCTAGTTGGTAACGAAACTCACGATCAGCCGCAGCATTTTCACAATTGCATGCTTCTATAGTTTGATTTATTTTGTTCAGCTTTGATACAGGCGCAGCACGTTCTCGTGTTTTTAATCCATCCCATTTTCTCGATCATGCATGAGCGTGCAGCCGGGAAAGCGAGCTCACGACTGCTTGCTTCACTATACACAACCGGCCTCATTATATCGCATAACATGGAAATGCCGCGCGCCCCGCCGCGGTGGTCTAGTGGCTAAGGTATACTCGGCTGCTGACCCGCAGGGCGCGGGTTCGAATCCCAGCTGCGGCGGCTGCATTTCCGATGGAGGCGGAAATGTTGTAGGCCCGTGTACTCAGATTTGGGTGCACGTTAAAGAACCCCAGGTGGTCTAAATTTCCGGAGCCCTCCACTACGGCGTCTCTCATAATCATATAGTGGTTTTGGGACGTTAAACCCCACATATCAATCAATGGAAATGCCGCGTCACCAAGCGTCACTGCACTTTTTTCTCGGCTACACAGCGGAACTGGAAACGGGGCAGCTGAATCGTGCATGCCGGCAGTGGGAGACACTGTACAAATAAAAGTAAAGAAATTGTCTGAGGGGCTTTTTTTCTGTATTGTACACAACTGACGAATTCGATGGATAGTGACATATAGGCAACATTATTTGTGGTTTTTGAAACTGTATACCGCACTGTTTCCCATTGAACTTGAAAGAAAAATAAAGTGGATGAAAATTGTCCTTTCCGTCAGTGGGATCCAAGTCCACAACCTTCGAGGAAGGAATAAATAGGAGAGACCACGATGCAAGTGATTCAAGCCAAGATATATCGAATAAGCTCGTTATCAGCACGCCAGAATAAATATAAATATAATAGCGGAAATTCTGCGTCCAACACCACGATATGGTCACGATGCATGCTGATTGCTCCGGAAATGAGGACCACCTAGTATTCTTCAATGTGCGCTCACATCTCATAATACTCGGGCCTCTAGCACTTGGCTTTTATCAAATTGCGATAACCGCAGTCGGGATCGAAGACGCGACTATTGGGTCATCAACCGAACAGCGTAAGTCGTAAACACTGCACCGGCGGTGCGCACCACGACGTCATAGCGTGTGCCATGTTTAGTGTTGGCAAAGCAACGGAAGCGTAGCCGAACAAACATTTTCGGCGAATACTCTGCGTCTCGGACGGTATGTGTTGAGCCATTATACTTCGAGGGGCATACGCGAATGAAATGGCTTCGAAGAGGGTTCGCAAGCCGTGCCTGGTTACGGGACATTATGCTCTCTTTCATGCAGATGCGTGCATACATTCCACGCCATCCTGGATGTGCGCCACACGACTCAGTTATAGCCTGAATCTGTTCTTTCACACCACCCAAACACGGCTATATTTTGTTCATACATTGCTTACCGAAAACTGACAATTCTGTGTGAAAGGCATGCTCGGACGTAGTTTGTATACTCTATATAGAGAATTATACCTTAAGAGTATGGCTGGAATTTATTAAAGTACGTCATCTAAAGGAGTGCTATGTTGACCCTGAAATGATTCCACGCTATATTTACTTGGCGCATAGTTAATACAATAAAACACCTGGTTTGATCGTGTATTTAGAAGAGGGCAATTAAAACTTAAAGACTGGCGTCACGTGACAGCACATGGTTGTGTTGTTTCGCGAAATCTTGTATGTTGACACATCAGCGCACCTGTTTCTAAGCCGTAATTCGACCGAGTCAACTCCCAATTAGGAAGAACGGAAGTGCAATAATGGGGTTGGGGCGTGTGTGTCATGTCATCATTTAGTAAAGAGCAAATTAGGGCAAGATTAAGTTGATGAGTACAAAATATGCGCGTCCTACCCACGAAGTATTGGTCCCAGAATATAGCGCCACAGGTTTTGTTCTTCTTTGCCGCTTTTTTGCTATATAAAGGGGAATGTTCTGTTTCCGGCCCTAGAAGTGCATGGTGTAAACCCAGAAGAATCACAAGGGAAGGGGGGCACAGTTCTTGAAAATAGTGGCCACTGTGTTTTGATAAATAAAGGCTTTTATTTATTATATAAAGAATAAAATAATGCTTTGAATAAAAAAATTACACCTCAGGTATCGTGCTACTGAGCCTCTCCAGAAACCGGTCAAACAGCAGTTGCCATTTCAATACAGCCTTACAGATCTCAGAGCTATTAAATGCCTCCATCTCCACAATCAACAGGCGTTAAAAAAAGTTGAATACTAAATGTTATGTGTGATTTGAGTAGTGACCACTTAGGAGATCAAAATACGTATTGGACTAGTATGGTCGTCAGGATATGATGTTTCAAAGATAAATTTCAAGGACGGACACTTGCAAGGGGCGTCCATATCAGCCTAAACACAAGGGGGATCAGGACGTGTCTAGTCCCGCATGATGTATACGTCACTGAATCTGAGCATATGAATCTCCTGAAGTATTGTCGTTGTTGACAGGCAGAGCCTGCCTTGTTATTGCTGCTAGCCTCGATAATAGGTTCTTTCTAAACGAGTTTTTCAACTCCCTCTCCGTGCAGGTGGATATTCACTCACTGGCGCCATCAAGGGCCATCGTGAAGGCAAGCACCTAGAGGTAAGAGAGGCCAGACCGTCCACTCTTTCCGTTTTCGCAACGAAGACGGGTGATTCCACAGAAGCACGCCTCAGTTGTTTTTGGCTGGAACGCTGCAACTGACTTTCGCTGCTGCATAGGAGCGATGCTGTTGCGAGCTTTCTCAGGCCTTATAGTACAGATTCTGCAGAATTAAGATTAGCACAAGTGACCGGGCCGGCTGATGGTTGCTTGTGCAATTTTTTTCAGTGGAGGCCGCTCGTAGGTTTGTGATGACAGCGGTGATAATGCCGATGCAGGACGGGTTCGCCTAGTAGAATTGGCCTGCGATTGCCCCACTCAGCGCTTCTTTCCCCGCCACACACGTCAACACGTTTCGCTTACTTCAGCCTTTCTCAGGTATGTCAGACTAAGGCGAGATATTCGCTTGGGAGCTAAATGCTGTACACCAGGGAAGAATATGTATTAAGCAGGCACGTGAGCAAACCCTTTTGGTATACTGTCCACAAATATCCTCTTTTGAGGAGAGATATACCTCTGCAGGGCCAAATGAAGACCACTTTTTTGTCGACTAAGTACACGAAGGAGAAGTAACACTCTTGACTTCGAACGACCATACCTTAGCACGTTTGCGTCAGCGGCAACGAAAGAAAAGATGCTGTTGTCGATATGCACTTTCAAGTCAGCCGACAATGGCAGTTCCGGTAAATGAACGAGTCCCTTATGAAATAACTTGTTGGCACTTTAGTTGGCATTGTTGTCAAGAAAATATATCTACGCGGTACGATGAGGATCGGCCTGAAGGTGCGTACGTTTTCCGGTATAGGTGTGAAACGAAAGATACGTCCCTGGAAACATTGCCGGAGAAACTAGTTCCACCGATGCATCATCGAGCGAAGGCGTAGCCAACGGCCGATGAGAGGCTCATCATGTCATAGGCAAGATCCCGAACTGTGACGGGGCACAACGCATCATGCACGGGAAAGACGGCGACGCAACTGCTGCCGAATTTTTGGAGAACGTATACCATAATGCGCCGCAGTTCGAGGAATATTAGTCTTGTTCCAGCGTTATCTTGTTTCGGGCTAGATCTCTCTGGTACATACTTGACCACGCTGAAACTTTGCACGTGCTGCTGACGCAGGCCGGCATGGTCACGAGCCGATCGTTAGCCGCTAGGCTATCGCTGTGGAACTGCGTGCGCGCACGCATCCATGGCTACCGTCGCCCGACCGGGCACTGCACAGCCACACGCACACATATCGCCTGCGTTCGTGAGGCGAACACGCCGGGCGGAAAAAAGACGGAAGTCTTCTTAGACGAAAAATGAGAAGAGAATGGCGCGGTTTCGGCCGGTCGAACAGGACTGCGCACGAGTGCTCAGCGTCTCGGTGACGCGTACGTTTTTTTGTTTTTATTACTTTTTATTTATACATTTATGTTCTTTGCGCTAAGGTTTCCTCCCACTCCCGGTGAACGCATGATTGAGTTCTCTTGTTGCTGGAAGCCGGCGACTTCCTACGGCGCAGCGCATTTGCGATCCTACGCGACGGCGGCAGGCGGACCGGTCATTTCGCGTCAAGGATATATCTATCGTCGAACGAACCGAGGTGTGGTATGTAGACTACAGCTGCCCCCAGTCTGCTTGTGACGTAGTCCTCGCAAACCAGCTTTCCTGTCCAGGCCGCGCTATCGTCGACGTCCTTTCGAAACCGCAGAATGGTCGCGAGCATACATTGTTACAACTTCTCGAAGGCTGAACTTGGAAAAATTGGCACTCCTCGACGGAAATTCGCACGCGAACCTCTCCTGGTGCGCTAAACGAGGCGAATATTAGCTCGCCTCAACAAGTACTCTCGCAGATGCTCCAAAGAAGGGAAGGAGAAAGGAAACACCCAGGCTGGCTTTCTTACAGAAAATATTCTTTGGAAACTGATGGAAATAAGCAACAAAAAGAAATAAAGGAAAATGCTATGACCGCGATTTTCATTAGAAAAAGCGCCGACGGAGTGGAGCACCATTCCTTTAGTGTTGATGTTAAAGGAAGCACCGCTGGCGCGATGACTTTTTTGCGCAAGTGAATAATGATTAAAAAAAAAAGTCGTTCAGGGTTTTTTCGCAAGCGAATTCTTTACTGTCAGCGTTGGGTAACCCGTCTGCAACCATTATCTTACAAGCTGAGCAAAAGAGTCGAGATGTTTATTTAGCTCCAAGTTTGAACGACAGCTATGTTTATGTTTTGTCTACCACGTAGCCGCAGCTGCTCTGTTGTTCGCGTGGGCAAACTTCTATGCATTTACGTGTGTTCGGCAGTTGCGAGCATCTTGAGTTACGTCGAGTTAACACTGAAACGTAAGAGTGCTGGCAGACCAACCCTGAAATTGATTTGGTGGGTGCTGTAACGTATATATATGTCTCTCTCACTCAAGTAGCATTACTTTGAAAACATTGCATGATATATGGGTGGTTTCGGCGCACCACATGCAATACCTGCGATGATTGGCCAGTAAGGGTTAACTGCGTTGCAGCTTTCTTGTTTATATCTTGTATTGTGTTCTTAGTGCACTGTAGTGGGCCAGTATAGGAAAGTAGTTACAACAGAAAACGGCGACTAGCCGCTTCTGCAACGCAGCGGTATATAACGACGAAGCATTACGAAAAGCTTATGTAACGCCTGAAATTAGAGAACCAAGTGAGTGCTGATGATTTTTTTTTAAATTAACGTTGGCTATATGAACCCTATATATCATCGTCTTGCAAACGCCACACGGAAGCCTTCTACAGTTTTCGTTTTAGCAGGGTTTGTCCACACAGTTTAATATGCTGCTATAGGCTAAGCAGCCGACAAACCTTCACCAGAAACAATGCGAAAGCCCGGAGATTTCCAAAGTGCACTTGCTTGAAGCACACTTTTACAGAAAGAAAAATATGCCGCTAGAATGCTCGAGAAATTATTCCATGTTCAATGCGTGCTTGTTTTATTTTCCAACGCAAGGGAGACTCCGCAATAATTTTGACCAACCATCTGGGGTATTTGTTGTGCACTTCAACCTAAGTGCACGAGTGTTATTGCATGTCACCCCCATCGAAATGAGTACGCTGTGGCCAGGAATGGGACCCCTGACCATAAGTTTGACGGCGCTACACGTACCTCAACCTGCTGAGCCACCACACCGGTTTCGCCAATCATAGAAGCTCAGTACGCAAGGGAAAATGAATAGGAGCCAAAGCGCGCTTTCAACCTTTTCTACATGTTCCCCTAGATAAATAAATTATTCGAGGCACCGTTGGTATAAATGAACGCGTCTAGTCCCGTCTGCGTTGGTTGAGCATAAGTTCTGTTTTTGAGTTCTTGAATTTACACTGGCTTCAATCATTGGGTCGTTACATACTTCGAAGCAATGAGTCCGCATCCTGTGTTATTCTTCAGTTTTTTTTACTAGGTTCTTTCGTGTCACGAACCGGGTTCGCTTCGCAAAATATAACTCGGCTCTCTTTTATACGCACTTTTATGCAGCACACGTTATGCCTTGCCTAGGACAGGTGTAGAGAGGAAGGAAGTGAGGAGAGATATATTAAACAATAAATACGTATCAATTATAGGCAACCCTTATGGTATACTTCTTCTAGTACACCTATATTTAACAGCAAACTGTTGCGGCAGGATTCTTGGCCGCCAGGAGACCCTCTCGGAGAGACCCAGTCGTTTAGTATATAACAATCAAGCCCAGTTGTTTATCGCGGCAGATGCTTGGCATCGAGAATAGGTAAGGGCCCGTCAGAGGCAGGTGGTTGCTCGAAGTGTGAGATTGGACTAGTTGGTAATCCATTATTAAACTTCTCAGCGCAAAAAATTCACACAATTAACACAACAGACGAGGACGAGCGCATATATATATATATATATATATATATATATATATATATATATATATATATATATATATATATATATATATATATATATATATATATATATATATATATATACCTTCAATGACGTTTTTGTTCATTCGGCAGCGGCCAATTCTATCTGCTTGCTTTCCGGACCCTGGAAAATCCGTACAAGATCGATACGGTGCTGATTCCGGGAATAGACACATGTTTCCTTGAAAACGGAATTCAAGGAACAAGCTGGCTAAGAATGTATTAGCACTGATCAAGTACTCGCGCGAGTGGAAGTGTTCTCTACGCCAAGCTGCTTTCAGAGGCGATGAGCCGCATTATACGACTTTTCAGTCACAACAATAAATCTTCGTTTTGAAGTACTGAAATATCATGCGGTGATGGGCCACGCTGCTTTGTGGTTGAAATGTTCTTTTATGGTCTTAGTGATATAGAATACTCATTTTTTAACCCTACATGCAGCCTGTTGGTGCACTGGAGTTCCGTGAATGTCGTGAAAACATGTTTGTCGCTTTCTGTCTGTCTAAGGCCTGCTTACGAGTCACCAGAAGAACTAAGAGTTTAGGCTTGTGAGGAAGTTGGAAGGACTACGGAAGGAAACGAGCGCTGTCCTCTCGTCTTTACTGCATATGTCCTTCCAAGGTTCCTTTATAATAGCCCAGATGCATGTAAACATGCCTGAAATGTGTAATTTTTAACAAGACCGCGGCTTTCTTAATGAAGGGTATACTACAAAAATGGCATCGCAAGCTGTAACGCGGGTGCGCAACTAAAATTCTAATGTTCCTTCTTCTTATCTTGCTATGACTTTGCGTCATTCCATTTGCTTTCACCCGCCAGTACTTCCATTATCCAGGCGCGATTCCGTGGATAAGTGTTCCGCAGTCCAAATGAGCATGCGCGCATAAGGTTGCCGCGGACGTGTACACGGCCAAGTAAACCGCATTCCAGGCCTTCGTCCGAGAGTAGACCGGACTGTCGCAGCGAGCACTCGCCGCCAGAGGGCCGTTGGACCGACACGCTTTCCTATAAGGACCCGGAACAGTGTCAACGACGGCTATTGCTCCCGTGTAATAAAGCCCACTGCGATGCATCTTTTTGCAATATCCCTCGGGTCAAATATTGCGCGATCGGGGCATGGGAGTGGTCCTCGGGACAGCGGCCGACCTGGTGCATGGAGATAGAGCGTGCGTGACGTCACATGCGAACTACGGAAACTCCTTCTCTAAGCGCAAGTTCCTGATCGCTTGTACGCGTGTTTGAGACCACGAGAGCATTACGCACGGGATTGACATAATTGGAGGTCTAGCATGTAGAGTATAGCCATCATCAATCCACTATGGAAGGTTATGCAGCCCGCAAATTCATGGTGAAGTGTTTGTGACCCTTTCCATTTTTCGCGTTGGTGCGATTTGGCCACCACTGGAGGAAATGCTTCCTCTGGATATGTATGCTCTTAAACCAATCGTGCAGCGCCACCGATGCCTTTCTCCCGCCACGCTTTATTTTCTCACTGTTGAGTATCGTGATGTCCTTATAGTTGGCTTCTGCTGCCAGAGCATACTGAAGGGGCGTATTTAAGAAACTCAGTGAAGGGTCCTGCAACATCGTTACGTGCATACTCTACGGCACTCCCCATTTCGCAATGTGCGCTGAAAGTTTGGCCCTCTTTCCCAGCATCCCTCACGATCCGTCCCCTCTGCCTTCTTCTCCGACACAGTTTTTAAAGACGATATAGTCTCGCTTGGGGACCTTCAACGCAAAAATTTTGGTCTGTCTGTCTGTACATTTGTCTGTTTGTCCACCTTTAAGGGTACCCTAAATGGCACAAAATTGTACTCCAAACGGCCGACCCCATCAGCAGCTCCCATTATTATTGCTCAAGATTCAGCGTTCATACTTGTGCGATTGTCAATTGAAAAGCAAGTATTGCGCATACTGAGGCACCGTCAACACGTCAATATTATCTGTGCGCATTTTTTACTAGAAAAGGCATAAATAAATAAGTTTAAGGATCGTAGCTTTTATAACACTTGCACGAAACGGCAAGTGTTTCCAACACTTTGCTAAGACGACACGGGGGTGGCACCTACCCGTCGCGGTGTGTTCTACACCTTATCACCTCAGAGACGGGCGCGCACGGCGCGTGCCCCGTTTCCCAGGATAACTGCCAGAAAGCGCTCATGTCTCACGTGTGACGTGACTTGATGCGCTTGTTCGCCTCCACTGCACGCTCGAGGCACTCTAACGCACCTCCTCCAGAATACCATTCACCAATTTTCTTGTGCAGAACATGAAATAAACCTTTTGTTCACTCTCTCCAGACGCAAGACTATAGTCTTTCGACAACATTTGCGCTATAACATGCAGATAGGGGCATATTTTTCTTCTGAGACCTTCAGTGCACATGCGACCAAAGCCCTCGGAATCTATAACCCTTCCTACCGGTTCTCTATATAGCAATGGACCATCGTGGTAGCGGAACATCAGAACGGCATCGCCCAACTCCCCTGCCTCCGCAACTCTTCCCTCACTCAGACCATTTTTTTACTCTCTTTCCTAGTATTCCTGTTCATTTCACAGGATAAACCCATCATGAAATTGCATTTTTACTCCTCATGATGCAGCTGTAAAGCCTGTCACAACTGACTCTCTTCGTTTACAGCTGCGTAAACAATACCAAGACAAGTTTTACGTAACAAGTTATAGGTCAGACACAGGAGCGTTCCATATGGAAGCTTGGACGAGGCTACAGCTAGTTTGTACTTTCATTGAAGTGGTGCTACTGCTAGCGCCTATGTAAGTGCCGGTGAGGTGGCGGAGTGGTTAAGGCAAAGAACTCTAATGCTGTGGGCGTTGTCCGTGAAGGTTCGATTCCCACCTTCGCCGAAACTTTTTTTACACCAAAGCTTTTTTTTTCGGGAAGTTTAAGAGATGCTGGGAAAGACTGTTGGGAAGTTCGTGACTGCGCATGCTCCAACAAAAACAAAAAATAACGACGCTTTATTTATATCGGCATAAGGTAGATGCAAGCGATCACAGCGCCGTGACATGTGCATGCGTTCACAAAATTTGTTTCGAAAAGCTAACACTGAACAATTATATTAAAATATGGTTTAATAACTGCTCGAGTAACGTGTACGTCGTAGCGGCTGTCTGTTGATTATGGTTTCCACGGTAGTTCAAACACAACAAAGGGTAGTATTGCTTTTACTTCTTGATCCTCCTGGTAGAACCTTCATGCGCCAGTTCAATGCCGATATTCATTGTCTCCACCCTGGTTAAATGCGGCATAAACGCACTAGACGCTGCGTACTGTTCGCAGAATGACTGGGTTTCAGAAGACAGTTCCGCCTAGCACTTATCCCGGCCACTTTTTGCCGTGGAACATGATGGCGAATGCCGACCAATTTCAACTTTTCGGCAGTGGGTGCCTTTCACAACGCAGTTTCATCGCATGTTACAAGCGTTTGGTGACGCGGGCTAGTACTAGCTTATGTTGGCAAAATAACTGCTAATATCGGTTACTCTTGGCTATCTCGTGGTTAACGCTAATTATTAAAGAAAATCTGCCAAGAAAGTCTTCGCATGCAGTGTTTTTATGTGTAAAACCTAAATAAAGGTTTTACACCCGTAGGCACTGCATTTTTTAAAAATCGATGGCATGTATGACTAAGCGAAAGCAAATTTTGTCCTTACGTCGTTGCTTGCAAAAATTACAGAGGCGTATGGGCAACAGAAAGTGGCCAATCTCCACTATTCAATCCTGGTCCATCAGGAAAAAAAAATTCTCTGCGGGCACAGAAGGTGCCACGGAACTACTCAGTACTGGTCCGATAAAAATGAAGAATGTAAAACATTGGCGGCAAACACCGATAAAGATATCGGGACAAACTAACCAATAACTAGGACAGACTTTAATGCATTGTCGGAATTGACACAGTGACAAATTCGGGAGGTGCAGGTCAGAGATTTGCCGTAAAACATCTGTGCGGAGTGCTTCGTGGTAATTTTTCTCTTTTTTTTTTTCATTCATTTGAGTACATTCTGTCCCGGCCTTTCACTGAATATGGCTCTTTCTAATGGTACTGGAAAAACAATGTCACACATACATCCTTATACACTTACTTCCTTTGAACACTTGAAAAACGAAAAGAAAAAAATCGAGACGATAAAAAGCTTGCTTTGTCTACAACCTATTTCAGATAGTTATGAAACACTGCCAGCATGCTATCCGTGCTGACAGTGAGTGTCGGGAGCGTTACTTGCATTAAGATGGCATACCGTTCGCACAAAAGGATCACTGACGTTCGAAAACAATTCTATTGACCTAACTCCCTTCCTTCACCTACTGGAACAAATCGTTGGACCTGCACGTTTCTGATTTCGAGCCCCATATAGACCGTTTTCCGCAACTAGTTTGTCTATGCAAGACTAGATGGCGCCAAAGCACCGAAGCGCCACGGCCTTCTCCTCGGTGGCGTGGCCGCGATGTGGCATGTGGCGGACGTTTCCCTGCTGCCTATACGGCGAGAAACGATGGTGGTAGTGATACCTGAAGAATGAAAAAGGCGCCTAATTTTTGTGAGCCATAAGGTGACACGGCGAAGTGCCTAAGAGAAAAAAAGAGAGAAACGGGCGGTGTGGACCATGCGCTGCGCCGTCTTTGCTGGCCTTCAACCCGGGAACGTCGGCGGTGAATCGGTTGAATATCGGCGAAGGTGAAGAAGTGGAAAGAAGAAGACCATTAGATCATGTGTTCCAACGTGGCAGCGCCCGTTCACCGCTGCGGAAAACGGCCTATAAAAAGGGCAATTACTTTATTGACTGTCCGGCAGATTAATGGCACGGGCTCACGTCAAGCTCATTAATCTTTTCGAGAAAAAATAATAGGCAACAACAACGACGAGGGTGGGACACGAACCCACGCTGGCAGACCTCAATGGATTAGCAGTCCATCGCCTTAAGCACTCGGCCACCTCGCCGACACGTCACGGATATCGCATGTAGCCATATAAGTAGACACCTAAGTGTTGGATGGATGGGAACACTTTACTGATTGTGCGGTGGATTAACGACCCGAGCAGCTCAGGTCGACCTCAGAATACTTTTTGAGAGGAAAAAAAAGAAAAAGAAAACAGAAAACGCCAAGCCTACGTGGAACGCCCAATACAGTCACAGCGAAAGCTAGAATGCTGGCCTATAGAGCCTTTTCAAAACATTATTTGTGTAACTTTTACAAGCACATTTCGACGGCACCCACTGCGCCATAAATCACTTTGTGCAGTAGGGAGGCGTCCACTGTGCCATTCTTCAGAGGAGCGTGGTGACCCACTACACACTTGCAAGAAATCATGTGCGTTTTGTATGCGGTGGCTGGTGACGATAAATAATTATGCCTGAGTCTTTTGTAATGGGTTGGGGCCTTCGTTTCTCGTTGCGTGATTCGCATTGCATGACGCCTGGTTGTTCATTTGCTGTTCTAAAATGCGTCATTACACATGTTAACGCGATTCCTTTAGCCGACATGAAGCCTGCTTAGGGTCAACTTGCAATGAAGTTTCGAGCACCGGCATAGCTCAGTTCACATGTGTAGGCAATAAAGGCGCCCTTGAGTGAGCACAAGTGAGCACAGATGTCGAGCACAAGACGTGGGATGAAATCCTTCCGTGTGTCACCTTCGCGTACAATATGGCCGTCCAAGAAACGACGTAGATCACGTCGTACAAATGAGTCTATGGAAGGAGCCAGGCAACGACGCTCGACGCTATATGCTTCCAAATGTCGCTGACGAAGAGAACCTCGACCGCTTACCAGCAGCGCGCTGAAGAAGCTCGTCAACTCGCCCGCCTGCGCATCAAGAATTGTCAGGCGAATTGACAGCCGCCGTTACAATCTTCGACGAAGCTTCGTGGAGTACCAGCCCGGGGACAGTGTCTCTGTATGGACGCCGATACGCCGACGTGGGCTCAGTGAAAAACTTCTTGGACGGTACTTCGAACCGCACAGAGTAGTTCGACGTCTCGGCCCACTCAACTACGAGGTCGTTCCCGACGGCAATACGTACTCTCAAAGGCGCCGTGCTCGAACAGAAGTCGTCCATGTCATGCGCCTCAAGCCTTCTCATGCGCGAACCTAAGGACTGTATTTTGTTGTGCTTTATCGCTTGTGCTTATTGTTTGTCTTCTTTATTGTACCTTCGTCTTTTGTTAAAGCATCGCGACGATGCCTTTTTCAGAGGGGGGTGATGCCACGTTTATTTCCTCAAGTTTTGTTATCGCCTCGTTACACTACGTTCAGCGCAAACCACACCTACGATGTTCGAGAAGCTGCGAGACCGTAGTAGCATAGAGAAACATGGTAGTACGTCGTTTTATTAAGATTACGCCCACTTCGTGAACATTACAAATTTTCCTGGAACTCACCTCGCCGCTAGCGATAACGCTAGAATATTCGACGGCAAGGGTATAAATGGCGACATGCTTCGTGGCTTGTCAGTTGATCGACGACCGACACCTTTCTCACCGCTAGCCCCACCGCGGTGGTCTAGTGGCTAAGGTACTCGGCTGCTGACCCGCAGGGCGCGGGTTCGAATCCCGGCTGCGGCGGCTGCATTTCCGATGGAGGCGGAAATGTTGTAGGCCCGTGTGCTCAGATTTGTGCGCACGTTTAAAGAACCCCAGGTGGTCTAAATTTCCGGAGTCCTCCACTACGGCGTCTCTCATAATCATAGAGTGGTTTTGGGACGTTAAACCCCACATATCAATCAATCAATTTCTCACCGCTATCAGTGCTAGCTTCTTGCTGTAATCTGACTCTCCCTTCACGTGGCCACAAGTTCGGCCCGAATAAACAGCTTATTATTCGACCTGCAGCCTGCTTCCTTCGTCCACGTCACGACCCCGTGACAATATGCGAAGCACGAATCAGGAAGGTTAATATGTCACTTTAAAATCAGCGCAACGTTACGAGGTGGATGGACGTAGACACTGTTAACACAAGTAGAAATGTTATGCGCACTCAGGTATCTAGATAAGATGCAAGTATAGAGTTTACAGTCGCGTAATAATGGCACCACTAACGTTTGCAATACCAGCACCAGCAGTTGTAGGCATGTAAGTTATGCCTTACATGACTTCCATCTCATGAGTATCATGTTTGAGCGAAACATTTGTGTTCATAGTCCATTCAAGTAACGTAATACCAAATTTGGTATATAAGAAGCTAGCGAAACGGCCGCGAGTGCGCTACGATCGTAGCAGTAGTCATGTTTTACTCGACACGCATGTCGTCATTATCATGTTTGAACGTGTCATATACCTTCGTCATCCATTCACGTCACGTAATATACCAATTTTGGTATATGTGAAGCTATCGAATTGGCCGCAAGCACATAATGAGCGTGGTATGTAGTCATTTTCTTACATTGCACACATATCACGATTATCGTGTTTGCACCAGTCATACACCTTCGTCATTAATTAACGTGACGTTGATGGATATGTGGGGTTTAACGTCCCAAAACCACCATATGATTATGAGAGACGCCGTAGTGAAGGGCTCCGGAAATTTCCACCACCTGGGGTTCTTTAAAGTGTTCACGTGACGTACGTAACACCGAATTTGTTATAGTGAAGCTAGCGAAACGGCAGCGAGCACATCATGAGCGTGGTATGTTATCATGTTCTTACATGACACGCATGTCATGATTATCATGTTTGGACATGTTTGGACATGAATGACGAAGGTAAACTTCGTCACCCATTCACGTCAAGTAATACCAAATTTGGTATATGTGAAGCTAGCGAAACGGCCGCGAGCACATCATGAGCGTGGTATGTTATCATGTTCTTACATGACACGCATGTCATGATTATCATGTTTGGACATGTCATTTACCTTCGTCACCCATTCACGTCATGTAATACCGAATTTGGTATATGTGAAGCTAGCGAAACGGCCGCGAGCACATCATGAGCGTGGTATGTTATCATGTTCTTACATGACACGCATGTCATGATTATCATGTTTGGACATTTCATTTACCTTCGTCACCAATTCACGTCATGTAATACCAAATTTGGTATATGTGAAGCTAGCGAAACGGCCGCGAGCACATCATGAGCGTGGTATGTTATAATGTTCTTGTGCACGTTAAAGAACCCCAGGTGGTCGAAATTTCCGGAGCCCTCCACTACGGCGTCTCTCATAATCATATTGTGGTTTTGGGACGTTAAACCCCACAAATCAATCAATCGATCAAGTTTCCCCATCCATCGAACGCTTAGGTGCCTCTTATATGGCTACATGTGGTAGTCGTGACGTGGCGTAAAGATGGCTGAGTGGGAACTTTGACGAAATGTTTGCCGAAGAAATTGAAACTGCAGCGGGGAAATGGGGATGCTTAAAGGGGCCCTGAAACACTTTTTCAAGTAACCATGGAATAAATTCACCAGAAGAGCGTATTGACTCATGAATCCAACGCCGCAAAACTCAAGAATCCGTTACAAAGGTTACAAAAGTTACAAAGGTTTGTCGCATGCTGCAATTGCATTCTCTCTTCTCTCGTCCCGGCGAAAGCACTGGAAGCTAAGCGGGGAGTGCTGGCAGGGCTAAAGCACTTGAGCACTTTTTTTTTTCTTCAAATGCGCGGCTTTATAAGTGTGATCGCGCACGTAAGCGTGGACAAGTAGTGGCTTCCCGCGGGGATCTCTGTAACGGGCGAGCGCGCCATGTTCAAATCAGCCAATGGCTGAGAGATAGGTCGTGGACGTGTGATTTTTGGGCATATAACATCATTTGTCGAGACAAGAAAAAACAATTTTTAGCTGATTTGGATAATTTATTTTGAATTCCCGGCCACGTGCTGTGCCATAATTTTTGGCTCGCGTCTTGTCGAGAGCCTCTACTACCGATCGGCAGCGTTTTCTGACCACGCTAAAAAAATGTTGCAGGACCCCTTTAAGAGGAAGGCCACAGGGAAGGCGCTGGACAGATCAAACTTGCTCAAATTCGAGGGGCAAAAAAATAAATAAATGTGAATTACAAAATTGGCCCGGTATCTGCATGTTTCACTGCAAAGGACGTCGAAAGACGATAGTCTCCTGTCTGGAGAGAATAAAACGTTTATTAGATGTTTTGCGCGAAAAGATTGGTGACTGGGACCCTTCAGTGGATCCTTCTGCCCGGGGGTGCTGCGCTTTTTTCACTGACGATACACAGGGTTATAGTTCCTGTATATGCTATTTTATGTATTAAAGTAGCGCATTTGCTTTCCAACGCCGCTAGCATTCACGCACAGCGGAGAAGATAGTGCACTGGCCGCACTGCCGAAAGTGGTCGCCGTTGACCTGGAATCTATTAAGTGAACATTGTGCGCTGTGTAGCTCGTTAGCTACGAACTGGTGCTTCTTTTTGCTTTAGATTCATGTCCTTAAACTTCGACGGCATAGTATTTGCGTGTATTCAGCACCATTAAAAAAACATACTGAATTAATCAACGCTGTAGGCTTAGTGGGGCGCTCTTTAAATCTCAGAGGACCTACTTTTTGTGTTTGTAAGTTGTTACTTATTTTCCATAGCTGGCGCCACTTGACCATGTGGTAGGGGTGGTGCATGTTATTCGGCACAACGCTACCCACACCTGTGGCCTTTTCGTTACAGACTAAAAATGCTTTTGGACTCCTGAGGCACAGTCCCGAAAGCAGTTGCCTCTTCTTTCTTCGCCGGTTGTTAATACGCCAAGCACCCCGACTCGAGATCGGCGACAAGCTTCACCGATCGGTGACAGGCTTAAGCAAGTAGCGTGTAAACACAGAGCGTGGCTTCGCCGCGTAACTATGGTTGCAAACCAGGCAGGATGTCAGACCTATGTGCTACTCTGCTCCCGTAGAGAGTATATACGGGGACTCTACGCTGCGACGCTGGGTTAAAGCCCCTTGATCTTGAGAGCTTTACGCTGGGTAAGATATAGACATCATCTGGC